CCTCAATATTATCTATGATTTCCGCGATGCAGAAAATGTGGAAGAATCGTGGAATCCAGTCATATAAATGGAATTTACTGTATGACGCGGAATGTCACGGAATTTGTCAAAGTCTGGATGAATTAATCAAAAGTAGGTCAGTACACTTAAATAGAGTATCTGTAAATATTATATGGACTAGTATCTGTAAATATTAAGGCGCAAAAATACTATTTAATTATGAATCCTGCATGTTCTGCGTGTCTCTGTGTATGTAAATGGCACAGACGCGCGGTTTTGTTTTCTACACATACAAACTGTGCGACGCTCGCAGTGATTTCAGCTTCTGTTGTCTCACTACATGAGGACATAAATACATGAACAACATCTCCAGAACTGCTCGGACTCCCTCTGAGAGTCACTTCATGATCATTTGTCAGTTTCATTTGAGTAAAACTATCACAGTATTTCCCACAGACTTAAACTCTATTTAGGGCGGCATATATATGCAAATTAATTCTCTGGCAGCAGGAGGCGCTGTTTGAGTGGTAGAGATCGAGGTTTCCCCGGTAACGCTGTACACAAATCAGCGCTCCGCTCACAAACGCTGCTTTATCAGACATTACATGCAAGATAAAAAATGAAAATGACGATCAGAAATATATTACTGTGGTGCAGTATGATATACATAATACTACTACAACAATTATTACAACTTTTGCTTAAAAGAATAAATCTAGTGTCACATAGGCCAAGATATTTCAATAGGCTATTGAACTAAGTGTGCCTGTAAAAGGCTATTAGTGTTATAGTTTCATGAAAATAGTTCAGTCTTCTTAACAACTTCTACAATATAGCGATGAAGACAATTAAATTATTTAAACTTATTATATACATTTTTTAAAGTTAATCCATTGATGTGTATTAGATGATGAATTGAATAGTCACCTCTACTATTGTAGGTTATGTTTTAGCCATCAGAAAATATTTAATGAGGAATTATGAGAGGTTATGCTACTACACATACATTTCTAACATGTAAATTATTGAAGTCAAATACTTACATTTCCCCAAGCTGTTTAGCTGTAGTACAGTATTCATAGGCTTAATCATGAAGCATACAGTGGCCCCACTTTTAACTCTCTCTTTATATTACCCTTATTGTAGATGGATGCACGAAGGAAGACAAGAGTAAGAAGTGCAGTGTGGGAGCACTACACTCAACGAACACCAGGAAAGGCAGTTTTTGTCAGAGCCCTTGTTATTCTTAATTTTGACATTAATTTTCATTTTTACACCAGACATACATATCGGTTCAAAATATCGGTTATCGGTCTACTTGATCTGTAATAATCGGTATCGGCCCTTTAAAAGACATATCGGTCGACCCCTACAGAGATCATTTATTATTCTGAGCTAAATACTTGTATGTATAAATACTTAGTAAATTAAAGATTTGAATATTAAAAACATCTGAATCATTTTTTTTTTTCAATTACAAGCCTAAGTTGCCTATATTTAGGTCACAACTACCTGTAAGTCACACTTTTTGATGCCATTGGTATAAGACAATTTTGACAGCATACAGGCAAGTTGTCCGCTGGGTCTATGGCATTCTGAGCAGGCACATCAGGACGGCCTTACCTGCATGTGTTGTTTCAGCCATTAGAAGACAGTTTCCAGAGGAAGGAGGACTTTATAAAGGTTTTGAATGGCCCCATTTTGGTGACAATCAATAAAAAATAATCACAATCACAAATTGTCTTACTGCATAAAAACTTGTTTATGAAGTTTACATCAGATAAATATGAAGCAGATCTACATTTATGGTTAATTCAATTCAGTTTTATTTATACAGCACTAAATCAACAAATATTAATTCCTAGTGCTGTTAATTCCTTACTCAAAACAACATTGCAACTGTTAATATACAGTATATATATATATATATATATATATATGTATATATATA